ATCCTGCAGAACACCCCGCTGAGTACAAGTCTGAGGAGGAATCCTCCTTTCTTCAAAGTCACTATGAGATATGGATAAGTAACAAAAAAAAAAAAAAAAAGAAATGAAATTTTTTTTGCCCTAACAAAGATTTTAGACCTTTTGAAGTGTGGTTCTGTGGAAATGTTTTGTAGAATAAAAATTGTATCTCTTTAAACAACTTCAGTTTTAAGAAACATTTATTAGTTCTGATCGGAGTGATGAGCTAACAGCTAATGCTGTTAGCTCTGCTTGCAAAAAAAGAATTGTACGTAAAGAAAAAGCTTAATGTGCAATTGACAAATACTTACATATTTGTAAACAACAATTGCATGAATTGCTTGAACAATATTTAAACTGGAGTTTGTTTTAAGATGTAGCAGTCCAAAACTAAAAACTATAGCTGCAAGATCAGTCGGTTCAGAACAAAACTATGTTCTGGTCCACAAAACAAATAAAAAAATAAAAGAAAAATAAAAATAATCGGTAAAACATTTCTTTTTATTTGTCTTTTTTATTAGTATCCTCAAAAACACAACATTGTTTCGAGAAATGTCTTCATCCACGGAGAAACAACAAACGACCCAAAATGCTGTAGTAACCATGCCAGGCCTGTGTGTGGTGCTATAACACTGCTACAATACTACAACCAAAGCAGGAAACAAGGCATGGAGTACACTCATGTAAACAAACCTTTGTCCGTATTTTCTGGCTTTCCTCTGGTTTATGTCTGTGTTTCAGGTGATTAAACATATCCGTAGGGTTAGCATTAGCATTAGCTGCTAAGGATCAACAATCCCATTTGAGGCTCCTAAAAAGCTGTTTCTGTGTGGATGCAAGGCTGAAAAAAAAATATTACGGCATATTCACACAGATACATAATTCTCATAGGACGACCCCTATATTTCTCCAAACTCAGGTTGGTAATAGAGCTATCTACAGCAGGTAAGCTATTAATCATTTATAGCCTCGAACCTCACTTCAAAAGACTTTAAGAGAAACAACTGAGCAAACTTTGTTTTGTGCAAACAGTTTGGTGTAAACCTGACTCGATCACACTGGGTGGAAGAAAAAAAAAAAAAAAACAAGAGGATGAAGAACGAGATGAAAACAGGCCGAGATGAATAATAAGATGAATGTAGCGTTGCCAGGATCCATGTTTGATCCTGCTCTTCAGGCTGCAGCCGCCACTCTGTAATTAAGGTAACAAATGATGCTGACAGTCTTCTGTTTATTGTCAAAGTAAATGAAATGTCTTGCAGAAATAGGTCTGTGGCTAACATTGTATGTTCTGTGGAGCTTTTGAAACTCCTATTCCTACTGGAATAATCATCCTGTCGGTAAGAGGATTTCCTTTTCTAAAGAACTAAATCTGCACAGGGAAGTATGAATACACAAGTCTGACAGCTTATACTAGTGGAAGGAAACAAACAATCTTTTTTCTTTTTTTTCTTTTTTTGCACAGGCAATATTATTTAAAAATGACAGAGCTGTTGACTGAAAGTCCTCTGGACAATACGGTCAGGGATTCAGGAGGCCTTAACACTCATCTTCCTGAAGGTTGAAGGAAATGTCTCAAGTAGGTCCGCTGGTAATACTGGCTTTGAGTTGTGTGGACGCTTTTGCTGTGCTGAGATGCCTCACTGGTTTCCCTCCCAAAAACAAAAAATACAAAATAAAAAATAAAAGTCAGAGGCACGGAGGTTCAGAAATGTTGAGGTTACTTTGAAATAACTCTCGGCTGACTCTTCCCTTTTCTCCAGCCCCTTCACATGACACACACGTCAGTTGCTCTTTCATCCAAATCCCTGTCTGTCACCGCAGCTCTGGACCCCGGCAGCAAACAAAAAGAGGTATTACTCCAGCATCAGCCCTGTGCAGAAAGGCTTGCCGACTGTGCGCCCTTATGAAACTTGTAAGATCAAACTGTTTGACAATTAATCTCACTCCGCCAGCTTCTTTCTTCCCTGTATTTGAAGTGTAATTTGATGCTAATCGAATGCATAATTTAATTATTCAGTGTGTGTTTACGCCTGACTCCTTCTCTTTTTTTAAATTTATATTTTTAGATTAAAATGGCCTGGCAGTAAGACAGAGAGACGCTTAAGTTTTTGTGCATTTTTGGAAATAAAGCATCTCAACATGAAGCATTTATTAATTTATGAGGAATTTGAACATTTTGAATCAGGACACCATTTGGTCATTTTCCCAATAATCCATCTGTCAGGCGTCAGTTTGTCCAACTATAGGCCTGCGTTCTCCTGGCAGCCTGTGGGTAGATTGGTTGCAGGACCTGATATCTGGGTTAGACACAATGACTGATTGAGGGGGTGGGTGGGAGAGGAACCCAATGGCTTGAAAGCCTCACCAGTTTGTAGCTTCAGATCCTGTTTCTGGTCCATGATGGATGTTTCCCAGCCTTCCTGTCTCAGTCTCTCTGTCACTGTCAGTTGGTATAATACAGCAGGGATCAGACTCAGAGATGAGCGATCCGCAGACTTTGTCTTTTTTTATTTTAATAGTCTCCACAGAACATAACAGATTGTTTTATACTGTTCAAGTCTATAGACAAAAATGTATTTTTTAGTTCAATCAGGCTGGAAATTAACATTATAATGAAGATTTTCAAAGTGCCTGTAACACTTCAAATTTAAAAAAGTTGAAGAAAACATCTTTACATTTAAGAAACTTGGCATGATTTTACCCATTTTGTCAAAAGACTGACATATTTGTTTTTACGTGGCTCAGCCAAAGTGGAACAGGAAGTGACATAAAAGAGGTATTTTTTAAAAAGGGTGAACTTCCTGGTCTTTGTTGATTGGAACAATATTATTTATATCTTCTTCATCTCTCTGATAGTGACTTGAAATAATATAAAGAAATGTCCAATTTATCTCTACAGTCTGTTAGCTGTTGTAGCAACGCTCTATTTACATTCAGACATTCCCCTTTGGCATCACTTCCTGTTACTTCACATGCAAATATCTCAATGACTGTTCATCTCAGCAGCCTGAACATTTTTAGCAATATGTCATTAATGTTAGATTTCCAAAAATACATTCATATTTATCACAAAAAGCTGATGTCACAGGCACTTTAAGTCAAATATTTAAACACAAATAAAATGATATTTGAAGTCTATAAAGAAAATGAAATGATCTTAAACTCACAGGTTGTTTGGCTTTGTAATAATTTTCAGTAAGCCTGTTATTGCCCCTTGTATAGGTGATTATGTTTTTGCCTGTCAGAAAACAATCACTGGGAATACATTTACAACCAATTAACTCCTGAATTCAATCTAATTAAATATGGCTGCCACAGCAATTCAACCTTAGCAAACATAAAATGTTTAAAACTCAGTCCATTTTACAAATACTGAGCTACACTTTGATGTAGTAGCTCAGAGTGATGCCAAATATATACTTTGAAAGCTGCATTTTAAATTTTTGCCTAAAACTTTGGGCTTCTTTTTTTTTAGTTAACCCTGTTTGTCTTTTAGCAGAACATCTCATGAACCACTTTACAAATTGTAATAACTGGCTGCACATCTCTAACTGAATAAATATTGACGAAATTTAAATTGCCTGCCACAGTAAATCGATCTTAGCAAACACAAAATAGTTATAAACTTAGTCAGATTATAGATTTTGACACAAAATGTGATAGGCCTATAATGATATTTCATAATTATCACAATAAATACAACATTATTGATTTGAGCGTCCAAGAACTGAGCCCCTGGGACTGGGGGCAAAAATGCACTTCCTGTTTTCTGTTACTGTTAACTTACGATGTGTCATTTCAACATGGACATGTTTGGTAGCAACAGACTCATCGGGCTAAAAGCTCAGAAACACTTCACAAATCACAGAAACCACAAAACACAGTTAAAGCCAAGAAGCTGAATCAGAAACTGAACAAATTCTACAAATGGCATCAGCACAAATCTCTAAATAAAGTAAMACGCTTTGATAATTTTAAAACCTTTTTTGTTTAGAAACGCAAATAAAAAATATTTTTGAAAGTTTTTTTTAGTAAATATGCTCCAGTTGGAGTCTAATTTAGTCGTTCTCATTGCTTTGGTGAAAAATAAATG